TATTTTCTCCTTTAGAAAAATTTACAGAATACGTTACAATGTAGCAAATTTATATCAGATAAAGAATTTTTTGGAAATATGCAAAAAAAAAAGTAGAAAGTACGCTCGGTGGCTTATTTTTAAGCTTTGATGATCATTTATGGTTATTCAGAAGCACAAATTATTATAATTATTGACATTGATGTTTATCATTGTTATTGACAGTAAGAAGAATTGACGTACAGAATATTAATATCTCAGAACAGCAATATCTCGACACTGAAGATACATGCAGTGTTTTTCCTTACAATCACAGATATGTAAAATATGAAAGTAAGATATAAAAGAAAAATATATTGTAGTATCGTAAGTTTTCCACTGCATGTACACGTAGCTTTACAAAAGTCACCGAGGGTTCAAAGGCCAGGTCAGTCGGAAAAATCTTGGCCGATGCGTCAGGCCCTTAGCACGACCATATTTGGTCATGTTGGGGGAGGCATTGGAAAACGCGTGCAGGGTATGCATGGTGGGAAGAATATAAAAGGCAAGGACGTTCTGAATTAGGTGGTTGTCGAAAGAGTTGTTGATTAGCACAGTTATCGAGTTGAGAGTTGTTGATTACAGAGTTGCTAAGTCAGTGGAGAGTTGTCGGGTTGAGAGTTGTCGAAGTTAGTTGCCAGAGTTGTTGTTGCTAATAATTATGAGATGCTAACAATTGTGAGTTGTAATAAGAGAGTTGCTGCAGAAGTGTAGGTTGAGCGTTGTGATAAGTTATAATAATTCGTACCTTTATCGTTACTCACATACTCTATCACTGCTAATTTATTATTAAATAAATATATATACCATCACCAAAATCGTCTCTACAATATTGGATACAAATTAAAATAATGTAATTTTCGATATCTTCAAAACTGTCGATTGTTATTTCTCTGCAATTCGTTAACTTTTTACATGTATCGAAGACAAAAGTAATTAAGTAGCTGAGTATTTAAATAATTTATATTCAACAGAGACAGAAAGAAAGATCTTCTATTCTTTTCCTGAATTATTTATGTAGGATTGGAATGAGAGCAATAAGTGTGCAAGGGTACGGACGAGTCAGTGTGCGTAAGCAGTCCAAGACAGTCTAAGAATTCAGTTGAAAGACAGTCCATCAGTCAGTCGAAGAATGTCCAAAGTCTGAGTTTTCAGTCAAAGACAGTGTGTTAAAGTCTAAAGTCAGTTTAAGAAATATCAGAAGAGCGTGCCCATAGCGAATCTCTCTTGTTTCATAGTCAGCCGCCGTCATTTTATTTATAAGCTTATTTTAGTCTATTAAGAAGCCAACAATACTATCTTAAGTCAATCCATCCAAAGTCCGATCCTACATTTATATTATTCATATATTTAAATATATTTTTAATTCGTAGTTATATCAATTGATGCCATTTCCATAAAAACAGAGAACTTTAACAATTCGATTATAATAATCACGTAATAATAAATTAAAGAATATAAAAATTTTGTTTTCCTAATATTTACAACTTATTTCTAGTCGAAATGTAGCTAAGGACGAGTGAAAAATAAGGCGGACGCTTGTTTCCTCAAAACTGTATCAGAAAATGGTGGGGATAATTGCTTCTATTAGCGACGTATATAACTACGTATATAAAACATTGCATATGTATTTACATATTATATATACGAGAGTGCGCGAATCTTCGCTCTTGTGACAGGAATTATTTATAGAATTAAGAAAGAATTTTAACTATAAAGTTATATTATTTTCTGTACTTTTATGACAATAAACAATAAATTAATGAACAATAATTTTGCTTATACGAATACTTGTACGAATTTTAATTACACGAATAATTAATTATCCGAATAAAGAATGGATTATATGTGTATGTTTAAATTGCAAAATACATTTAAATCGGAAAATTCATAAGACTTTAATATATCTGAATTTCAAAATAGATGCAATAATCATGAATCCATATAGATATCCTAAAAATAATTCAGGATATAAAATTATGAGTGATAATGATATCCTATTATCAATGTTTGACATAAACGATGACGTAAATAAAATTATATCGATGTATATACTATTTCAATATATATCAAAATTGAAAACGCATTTAGCATTGCAATAGATGCTGTATAAATTTGTACGATGGAAGGAAAGTATCTAAAAATGGGACATTTATTTTTTATTCTGCATCTTTCGTTTTAAGTATAAGCTTGCTCACGTACAAAATATTTATATTCGAAAAATTTTTTACTTCTGACATAACTCAAATGTTCGACGTATAACATAATTCGAAATTTCTTTCTTTCGAGACAGATTATTCGAGAAACCGAATACTTGAACGAATTTGTGCCCCGATTAATTCGAATAGTCGTTCTATTGTAGACAGATAAATAAAGGAACGATATGAAAAAATGTATCAAACGATAGTCGTAAGGTATGAAGGAATACACGTACTACTATAATTACCTTTTCCCCACTTCGTTTTTTGACTAAAATATGACGGTCATGCTGAATATTAACATTAAACTTATCATAAATTGTCAAATGACCGTTTCTAAATTATCGTCTTAAAACTTTGCATTCAACGTTATTGCTTTCGTCGCTTAATTTTAAGACATTTTTTATAACACACATATAATCATTTTTTCAATGTCCATCTCTCTTTTATTCCATTTCTTTTGAGGTTCATACGTAGTCTATTCCATTTACCACACTAGCGCACCTCAGCCCGAAGAGGAGGCTTCCTCTATCATCGTCTTTGTAGAACGTTTTTTCTTCTTCAAAAACCGATTCATGAACCAAAGAAACGTCCTTGGTCTAATTTAGCCAATTAGGAAGTCCCTTGGCGAACTTCCGATTTTCATCAAAACCGGCGTGAAGAAAATTGCGGAGGCAGTCGTCAGTTCTGTTTAGACAGTTGTCTGTTCTGTTTCAGTCATCTTGTCAGTTTAAGCCAATCATCTTGACGTAGTCTATCGTTCGATTTCTTCAGGTCTATCGTTTAATCTATCCGCATTCAGTGACTCTTCCAGTTAGTTAATTCGAATCTTCAATCTGTATTCGACATGATATAGTCTATCATTCGGCTTTATCATAGTCATTCTCCTTGCTCGTGAATCACGAACTATTACGCGACAATCCACGAAACGGGGATTGTCAACCGATGGCAGTTCTGCAGAACAACATTGAACTAGTTGCTTAATATTAATTTGGCGAGCAACATTACGAGATAGCGAGACGGCTTTACAATCCGCCAGAATTCATCGAGAGTTCAATCGTCACGCGACAATAGTAAATACCAGTGTTAAAGTAACAAAGTATGTAGAATAAGGTCAGTTTAATGTCTACGTTTATTGGCTGTTGTTAGTCAGACTAGTCAGTAAGAAATTTGTGAAAGGAAATGTGAGTGATTAAAATCAACCACTGATCAACCAAATCAGTCACTGATAGATTATTGGTCGACATAGATGAAAAAGTATGTATCTATGCATATATATAAAACGAAATAATCGGACCATTTGATGAGAAACTTCGGAGAAATTAATTATTCTATAATAAAACTAAATTGAGTATTACATAAAAAATATGCCAAGAATTTGTAGTATCAATGAAAACCTAACCGTTATCAAGCTGTCATCGCACAACGCATCGTTTTCTTCCACGGCAACCAGCCAGATATACATATAAATCTTAGAAACGTCCTGAGCGTAGTAGTAGCCAAACGTTGTTTCAAAGCACGCATGCTTCCATTCTTCATTTTGCTTGTATAATTATGAATCAATTATGAATTAAACTCACCGAATAGACAATAGTCTAGCGTGGCAGAAAAAGATTTTAAATAACGAATGTTAAAAGAAATTTAGAAAATTTTAAGTGTTTATCATACTTCTTCTACGATTTTGATAATATTTTAATCATGTAATAGAAATGAAGATTTGGATGAATTTCTTCCTTTGTACATAACGAGTGGTCTGCTTTAGCTTTTGAGATATTTGTAAAAAGCTTTCGAGACTGTACAATTATACTTGTGGTGGATAATGAAAAACTTGACACTCTTACTTATCTAACTATTTATTAATAACATTAATTACTACAAGGATTCTCTCTATATTTATGGATTATTATTTATCGCACATTCTCATTCGGCACAGGGCAGTCACGCACCACATGGTCGGACACACACTCACTTCCCTTCCGCGCTTCTTTTGTTTTTCAGTGTTACCATCCATCCACATTCACTCGTCACCACGCATCACCTCTCACTCATACCAACTTAAAAGCTAAACATCCCCACAATACTTTGCTTGTGCATACGAGAGATAGCGTGTGCTTTACCATCTGTCTATTGTTTCTCCAAAGCACTACACAGTAACCTATTGTATAATATATAACGGATGTTTTCGTTAGCGAGGTAATTCATACATTTAAATTAGATTTTTTTTCATATTTTGAACGTGGTTACTTTTATATATATATGTCTAGAAATTCGTTTGAAACTACACTCTTGACCAGAAAAAGCGCTCCGCCTGTTCTCCTATAGTCATACCTCCAAACGAATCTAATCAATCCTATTTTAATACTTACATAGTTACATTAAATATTCCATATGTTCGTCTTGAGATTAGGTAAGGTTAATTCTTTTGGAGTGGGAATATATTCACAAGCCCAAACCTTATTTCAATTTTCAATCAATTTTTGAAATTCTTTATACGTCAAGAGAACCTTAAAAAAAATTCTATTCGAATCGATATTTTCTCAATATATACATATATGATACGATATATGTATATATAAATCCTAATAGAATTTTTTCAGAAACGTGAACTATATGTATATTTCGAATCCTGAATTTTATAGTTATAACGTTATATAAAAGTGCGACACTTAAACAATATTTTCTGTACATGTTTTATTGAAATATCAATATTAAATAACACGAGTACATTTTGTAATTTCATTATCATACAATAATAACTTAAAATATAGCTATTACTGGCCATTTTTAAAACGAAACACTTTTCTTTTTATTCGAAAATTTCCTCTTTAATGGTAGCAACGCAATAGTATTTAATGGATCTGCAATATCATTCGATTCTAAATAGGAGTTAATTTTGTCTTGTCTTGACTTTATAGGCTGTGGCATATAAGACTCTATATCTACATTAGGGAGCTTTATAAATTTGACGCTTTTCGGTGGTGTCTTTTCTGACAAAATTTCTATATTCGGGAATTTCTTTATTATCATCTCCTCATTTACGTCAGAATTGTCAAATTTCGTTGCATGTCGTTGAAAAGCCATATCCGCTTGTTCCAGGGTATTTTTAGCTTTTTCGATCTCAGCATTCAAATTAATCACGTCAAATATACGATCCTGTAAAGATAAGCAACGTATCTTTAAAGTATAATTCGATTCTTTTCTTCGATCAACATCTTCATGACGACGTTGAGTATTTTTTAATTATTTCATTCACCGATTCATCGGTATTTCGATATTTATCAGTCACGGTATATTGTTTTAACTGTCATTGTTTAATTTTCGAAAATGCATCACTGGTAACCGTAAGAGGTTAAATATTGAGTTCAACGAAAAATGATCACGCAAAATGGTCTGTACCATTAGCGGAGTACATTGTCACGAACGTGTTTTTAATCACACATTTTTCCATTATAGGCATTTTATTTATTATAAGGTCTACTCGTTTTAATCTATGAATACAATCGAAGAGTGGAAATAGAAAAGGGAGAAAGTGCTATTTTTCTCTAAAAAATGTTTTTTTCCATAAAAACGATGTTTACATACATACGTGCCGGTATTAGTAAACGAGGATTGAAGTGTCATAGAAATAATTAACACAATTTTTAGTATTTCGTACCTAGTGTAGGATATACACTACGAGTTTCCTAAATTGAACCGAATATGCTAATAAACTCCGTGTGCTCATAATCGCATCTCGTCTTGGATTATCGCAAGAACTTTTGTTCCCTTCAGCTTTTTTCAAGTAAATTACATAATGGTCTTACAGCGTTTCTTAAAATATAAAAATTATTTTCTTCTTCGGTAATAAAATTTAAAAATAGTCAACCAAAGGTATGATAAAGTCATATGAAGTAATATTATCCATGTAAAAAATAAATTTTGTTATATTTCATTAAGTAATCTGTTGACAAAAGCAGTAGCTTTCTCCGAAACTTTAATTTTAGCACTTTCACCTTCTTTATTTCTGTTCTTCGATTATCGTTACCTTAAAAATGTTTCAAATGGAACTTGTTCTTCTCCTTTTTACAGTTAGATACATAAAAAGCCATACGTAGATCATAGGTGTTTTCTTTACAAATAAAATCGTGTATTTCTGAATACATTAATCGAAGCATTTCGTCATTTGGTGTAAAGAGCATCAATACACTCGTGTATCTATGTATTTCTCCATAACACATTTATTTTCAAAGTGAAAGAAAGTAGGAAGACGAATTCGACAACCTAACATATTGCACCATTTTATTGTGAAATATTAGGATAAAATAGAAATCAGTTTTTTATTTTAATGAAATACGAAATAATCTTAATGGACGGCTTAAACTGATCATTTCGATTCTATATAGCAATTACCAAATTGCGTAAACTAATAATACAGATTCGCGGTATCTCATAAACTAATAATTTCTTACCACATGTGATTTAATTAATACCTTTTTATAGGGAATGACGAACTACATCATTTAATACATATACCTACTATAAATATACAGTATATGTCACTTTTTACGTGTCAAACTGTGTCAGTATATTCCATGGGTCTAAGTAAGAAGAAGTAAACACCGATCGTTTATCAATTTGCCAAAAAGTTATAATAAAAATACGAAATATGAAGAGACAATTAATTGTAGCAATATTTACATGACATTTTTAATTTTTAATTTTTATAATTTTAGAAATTCTAAATAATTCTTAATAATTCTAAATAATTTTAAAAATTAAATTTTTAGCAACGAATACAATATCTCAAAATAACCACCGTCTTTAGTAGTATAAGATTGATAACAGTTGAAAATTGAATTTATTACAGTACGAAGCTCATTTGTATTTCGTTTCATCTCGATAAATGAATCGTTAATTTTTTGATCAATTTATTACACGTATCTATTCTCGATACACTTTTTTCTTCGATGTTCTTTCTGGCAATGATTGACATAAATTTCAATATATCTATGTAGGGATACTGTTTGATTGGCAAATATAAGGAATGAGAGATGTTAATTTAGTCCAAAATATATATTTATTACGAACTAAATGAGATTAGGAATAAAGTATAAATTAAAAAATTAGACTGATAACTGATCTAGGACTACGCAATCGATCGATACTGTCATGTCAACTCTAGCTAAAAAACTCTATAAAGAATTATCTCAAGACAGCCCTTGTACGCTTATTTAAACTTATTGTTAGTAGTCTCTCTTCACACGCAGGATATCTTTCTCGATCACTCATAAACGTCCCTTCCTTCCGCATGCATTCCTGTTTATTATCCATTATCAACCAGGTAGGCCTAAGTGTTCCTTTGCACTCAATATCAAACCTTAACATCCTACATATATTGATATAAAAGTGAGTGATGTCTATAAGAAAGAACGAGTGTATCAAGTATGCGTGTAATAAATGAAGTATGGTTTAAACTGTGTATATTCGTGTAATGTATGAAAGAAGAGAGAACAAATGAGAAAGTAGTTGGATAGGTCAGTTGCAATTTAGAATTCATTGAAAGTAAACGTATGAACATAAACATAATGAACATGTACGTAAACGTATGAAATAGTAAACATAATTAGATATATTTTATCGATAATTTCTTACCCCATCCAATAATATTGTTAAATAAATATTTCATATATTCATATAAATATAATATCCGCGACTAGCATTCTTCACAGGTAAAAGTCAGGTGACTAACCGGATCAGATAACCAAGTAATTTTACAATTTTGTTCTAACTTTTTAATAAGATGATAAATGATAATAATTATATAATATTCTTATTTTATTTAGTCTCATAGAACATGCTGACAAAATTTGTTATTTGAAACTTAGAACACCCTGTATATGATCCTATTAAAAGAAGCAGTGTGATCTTCGTGTCGTAGCACGTTTCATTCGTCTTATGAAAACGAAAACCATAAATTTTGTAACGACGAAAGGAAATTTCGATCTTCGTTTAAAAAATCAGCACATTTTCATTTATAGTTATTTATTTGTGGCATTTCACTACGAAACTATCACAATTCAGTAATCCACTGGGAAATATAACATGGTTTATTTCTAGCTACAAGAGATATCATGCTAAATATAATAGATTGTCTAATGCTGGAAAATCTGCTGGAAAAATTAAAAAATGGACATTTATGATCATTCGCCCATTCGTAATCTACCAATCATTTCAGTCATTTGATCAAATTCATTGCAGATTTGACAAGAGACTATTAGCTTTTTCGAAACGAAATTTTTTAAACTGGATTTCTTGGAGACCTCGAGTAAACTATTTTTTTCATCAGCTACCATTCGGTTATTTAGGGTGAAAATATGTTTTGAATAGAAATTGTGTAGTCCTTTATAGTTTTGGAGATTACGCTATCAAAATAGTCTACATCTTTTATCTAAATAGAAAGTTACTACTACTAAACCATATTTTATTTTTTTTCCCTTTTGGAAAATCCTATTATAAATACAGATGTGCATGTTATCGGATAATATGATTTCTAAAAAATATTGATAACATAGATGACTTTTAATTCGAACTATATTCAGAATGCAGGGCATTAGTCGAAAAATGTGGGAAAAATGTTACAGCTGATACTCGATCTTCATCATCCCTCACATAGATTTACATAATTCTATGTACAATTTCTACAAAAGGAAAATTATCCTCATCTTTGTTTACTGGAACTAGGTTTTCTATAAGAAGAAAAATTAAAATATCTTTCAGTCACAATAATGAAAAATTTTTTATTTCGATAAAGAAATTTTTCTATTTCGATAGTATAATTTTTAATACTTTTTGAGTGATTTCATGTTTATCAATGCCTTCAAATTTTAATAGCTTTTATGTTTTTTAAAATTACATTTTTAAAATAGTACAAACTTTTTACTAAATTCCAAACTTTGTTTGATACCTACTGTAGTTTTAAAAATATATAGACAAGGAGGAAAACGCCTAAATATATATAAGTCCGGATAGTTTACAAGGAATAGTTTACATCTTTTGTTATAAACCTATAATATTTCCATAAATCAAAATTTTCGAATTATTTAATGTCCTTTGTAATTTTAAAGATTTACCAATTTATCTGTTCTTCTCTTTTTCTAATATCTTTTCCTTTGTACTAGTACTCTCTATCTACGCGAGTTTCTATGGTATAAAAAGAATTGTACGAATCAAATTAATAATAATCAACGTAAATCAAGAAGCTGATACAAAATATCGACATGTGTTACGAAAAATAACACGTTTCATTTGTCTCGCGAAAATTTTGGACTTTACAACCTGTTGCGTCCCGAACATTGCAACTCGCATGGTGGAAGTTTTGCGGAGTAAGGCCCGTTTACGCGGATGCGACAATGTTGCTGGGATGCGGCCTATTCTAAATTAACGCGTTCAGTGCCCAGCCCGTTTTGCTTGCCGTTCCGTTCAGGTCCAGACTAGGCCGTCAAGTGGGCCACCGGCGGCGGGTGAAGTGTTCATAAAACTCGGAGATACTGTACCAATTGTTATAACAGGAATTTCCAAACGTTAGGTCAAAAGATGGCGAAGAATTTAACACCAAAAGTTAGCACCTTTCGGTCCTAGTCTGGGCCGGTTCCTGGGATTGGTCGAGCCCGAAGTCCCTGAGGACCGACGTGGTACTTAACGTGTTAATAGAGCTAAACCTGGTTAGGGTTGAATTAAAAAGTTTGTATGTGTGTTATTGTCTCTCGCCTTGAATTGACCGTCGTGGGTCTTGAATGATAATCTGGTCGTGATGCTTGTCCTGTTTTCGTGAGATTTTTAGGAAAACTGCCTTGTGACTGCTGTCTCGGTACTTTTATAAGTTTCGTATGTCTACTGATTGGTTGGTGTGAAATGTAAGTGGTGGGTGTGTGTCTTCCTATTGATTGTGAATAATATTGGGGGTGTGTAATAGCTTCGACGTCTTTCTGTGGTGGTGGATGTTTAAATAATTTGGGTCCTTATGCCTATCGTCTTAAGGGTGATATATTGGTCCTTGCTAAAGTTTACCCAAATGCTGACTAGATGACGACGAGTGTATACAACTCAAGGAATGCTGGCAATAAGGACATAAAATAGTCTTCCATTTAACTTGGGACGTTCGGTTTTCGGTACAAGATATCTTAAAAATATATCAATGTATTATGTATTTACTCATGACAGTTATTATCATTGTTACTCATTTTAAACTGTAGGAATTTTTCACAAATTAACCGTTTAATAACTATCAAAGATCTTCATCGACTGTTCGTAAATTGAAATGTTCTTGTCCTTGTTGAGACATGTGAAACGTATTACTTTTCATTTGCAATTTTCGAGCTGTGATACATGTCGTGACGAATTGTGAATAGCACTCGTTATCGTAGCGAATATCAAACATATTAATTTTCGATGGGAACAATGAAATGTGATTCTTCTCGTAATAAACGAAATGAAACAGTCTACAGGAAACAAATGAAACAATCTTGTAACGCACAATGCATCCTCTAATTACGATAAATTATAGAGAGTTTTTTCTTGAAGCAGAATAAGTTCCTTTTGAAACATTTTTGGAGTAACGAACAGCATAAGGAATAATTGCATTTATAGATTAAAATAAATCACCTTATACAGCGTGTCTCACAAACTCTGTTCAGCTAAATGTCTTTGCTATTTCAAACAATATAAGAAATATTACTCACGAAAATAGAGTTTAAGAAAGTACATAATATGGTATAAATGGTATTTTTACGGGTAAAAATGTAGAATAAAGTATAGAAATGAACTTTGTGTTTTAAATAGAATATGTAATTTTTATATTTGATTTCGATAGAATGACGTGTACCAAGTCAGCCATAGCGATAAAAGCAATAAGGTACATTTGTTCTAAAATTTACTATTTTTGAGACATTTCACATTCTTCATCCTGTTACTTCCAACGTAAAACGTATTCGAAGTAAGTTTTTCATTTGGTAAACATAAGATTCTTAATATAAAATTTTAAGTCGAAGAAAAATACAATGGTGGTTTGAAATTTGTATGCTAAAAGACATCTAAATCTAGTGGATGTAAGGAAAAACGCCTCGTGTCATAATTTCAAAAAATTGTGGTTTCCTTGTTAACTGTGTTGCAATGGATTTACACATTTACCAGAAAAAAATTAATAAAAATTAATTTGACATTTTCAAAAAATTATGCAACCCAACCGAATGCTAAGAAGAATTTACGTTTATAATTTCACATATTTTGATTACTTAGTAATTAATATTTTTATTACGGCATATTTTAATTCTATCAAAGACGAATATACAAAATTGCACATTCCGTTTAAGAAAACAAAGTTGACCTTTATAACTGTTTTATATTTCCATCTGTAAAAATACTATTTATATTATATTATGTATTTCCTTAAATCCTATAAGTATTGCAAATAACACTTTCTTTTATTATTTGAAATAACGAAAATATTCAGGTGGACTGAGTTTGTGAGACACATATATAATATTCTTTTTATATAATATATATCGAATAAATAGTTCCAAACAAAGGTATTGGCACAAGCAACATTTTATCATATAATCAACGATACATCTACAGAAATATATGCCTACATCTAATCTTTCTTTAAAATGTAATTTTAAATCTATAAATTAAGCATGGAATAAGCTCAATTATTTATTGTCGGTAAGTTAATTATTCAGAAAAGTTAAACAACTGTAAGATAGCATAAAATAGGAATCGTAAGCAACAATATTGTATAGAATAGTTTGTTTTAACTTTTAAATTTATTCAATAGAGTATAACCTCTGTTATGTGAACACCCGTTATATGAATATTTTATTACATTAACGTTCCGTCATTTGGACGTTTTATTACATAAATATGATTCCAATTGTAATAAAAATAATAATACCTGGGTAATACGACGTTATAGTTAAATATCATTATAGCTACAATCATTAATAATAACAGATAATAATTATCAAATGCCTAACGTTAGACCCTAATGTCGCTAAAATAGAAGCAAATAGCATTGTCAATTGAAAAGAAATGTGGTATAACTTTAAAATTATGACATAATTATAAAAAAATGGCGAATGTGATAGAAATCTAGCATAAAAATAAAATCAACTATTATACATTTGACTTTTTAATTTAAAAAGAAAGAGCTTTGAACTTTGAATAATATTGTATCTTTTTCCTTTTATTCCATTTTATTTTGAGTATCGAATAAAATTGAATACTATCTACTCGTTGTTCTATTATATGAAAATTCTTTTATGCGAACATTTGTATTTCCGCATTAATTCGTATAACAGAGGCTAGACATTCTAATTAATAAAGATTTTGAAACTTGCATGATAGAAGAATAGCAATTATTCGGAGTAGGCAATTGTACTAAGAATATTTCCGCGACTTGTTCATAATCTTTTATGTTACATGTAATCTACTCTCCTAGTTAACTTATCTCAATTCTCGCAAACAACTCGACGATTTCATATATTCTTTGAATTGCTAAGAAATATATCTCTGTATTTAACTTGTGTTTCTAGTTAATACAGCAACTACTTTCGAGAAAGTCAGTTTCAGAATATTCTTTTGTGAATATTATAGAACGGTAATTAATAAACGGTAATTTATTAATAAATTTTTTTTCCTCGATTGATGAATATACGTAGTAAACAACTATTTTATTATTTATCTGTAATATTTGATACATATCCCGTGACAAAGAAGACAGTTGATTACGTTCTTAATAATAAAACGATGTTTATTAACAATTCTTCCTAAAGTCAATGAATTTTCTGATTTTTATGAATTTGATACAATTTTTTTTTCAAAAATTGGTTGCCCGTTCTATTTCCTATATTCGCGTATTTCCTCTTTTCTCCACTATCTATATATCATATTACATATATCATGTAAGTAATTGGCGGTCACTTTAAATCGAGATATTCATCTCACGATCAGATACGATAGACATGTCAACATGCCAACGCGTTCGTTTCAGTGAGATACAGTTGTTTAACATTTGTGACATACTATACGTTTAATTCATAGATCGAAAAATACATTTTAGGAAAAGGTTGAATAAAATGTATTAATTTGTTCTAAATTTATACACGATTCTACGATAAAATATTTCGTGTGCCAATAGTTTTGTTTGGCACTGTACGTGTTCCAAATGCAAATATAACCTGCATGTCCCTTCGTTTGCGCCTCAAGTCAGCCAAATCTTCGGCAAACGCAGCGGCAGCTCGTTCCTTGTAACGTCGCTGACCAACTACAAAATCATCCTCCAGTTCATCTTCGATTCCTCGATCATACATATAGTCCAGATCATCTAAAAAGTCATTACGGTTTCCCAAAACATTGTGAGAACCTAAAATATTTGAACGATAATATTAGAGAAATATTCAAATCTTATTTAAAAATTAAAAATAACTTGAAATAATTCGTTTTATAGTTAATTCATAGTTAATAGATAATATATTTAATAAATAGTATTATAAATATTATAGCTTTCAAACAAAATATTTTAAACAACTTAAATTAAACTTAAATTAAATTAATAAATCCTGTGAATTTATTAGTACATTATCAACCTGCTCGTAAATAAAACAATTGGTTTGTTAAATGTGTAACTTGTAAATGTAGTAGACCATTGTATAACGTGATTTTTAAACGATGAAACGAAAAATTTGTAATTGGTTAGCTGTACATAAGATTAGTACAATAAGAATTTCTAATTTAACGTATATTAATATTTTTGTACTCTATGCATATTAATAACTTTTATTATATTTTAAAAACAATTTTTATACTATGAAAAAGATAAACATATTTGATCATGACATTTCTTTCATAAGTTTTTCATTTTTTTTACTTTTTTCCAGATTCAACGTGTAGACAAATTTTAGGCGGTGCTTGTGAACGAATAGCATTTGAAAAATAAAGTAGAGGTAAGAAATAAATAATAGCAAGGTATTTTAAGTAAAGTTACAGGACATCCTATAACTATGATACAAAAACATACATTTTACATTATTAAGCAAAATATATTCTTCGCATTACACAGAGGTCTACTGTGCATATAACAAAGCAGTTATGTCAAAGTGCAGCAAATAATATTGTACTCGTAAATATACGTCTTAATAGATGATCGAATTCTCATTTTCTACCGGTTTATCGGTTCATTATTCTTACGTTTAAGTCTCTTCCTGTACGTATACGAATGTTTATCCTAGACAATAAATCTTTCGAAAATAAATAATACTTAAAATAAGAAAATAGAATAAATGATGTCCAAGATATGCAAATAAACTCACTTTGTTACACGTATTTTTTTTTAATCCCAATCATGCAAAACGAAAATTATTCTATGCATACATATACGTATGTATATTGAAAAGATTCTTAGATAGACATACATACATAGACTCAATTTGTTATGTTAATTTCTTTTTTTCTTTCCTTCTAAGGACCATTCCAGTTCACAAAAGAATATCGTCTACAGCCTTTCAGTTTGATCATACGCTTAAACCTGTTAAAACGTGTCTTGAAGCGTTAAAAATGTTTATATATGAAATATAATACAATATAATACAATCTCTGTCCGAGGTCGTCTGAACAGTGCGAAAAGTTTTTATCGCTGCAATAATTCGCAGGGATAAAGATATAAATAATAGATAAAATGAAATATATATTACATTTATTGGTATATTCGATGAGATTAGTGTTTAAAGATTAAAAAGATTAAAGGAAAAATGGTAACCGAGATAAAGATAGTAAAAGTGGAAATGTTGTTCTCGACTGTAGTTTATAGTTTCGAAAGATAAAAAGGAGATTAAGTGTATAAAGGCTATGATTAACAGAGCTACCCTACCGAGCCTACCAAGAAGATCTTTGATGGCGTATGAGGCCCACGGAGGCGTTGGCTATTTTTGAACAGAGTGGGATCGTACGCGCATGCGGATTGTGGATGTGTGAAAAGAAAAGAAAGGCAAAGGTGGAACTTTCTCAAATTTAAGAGTTATTGTCAAATTAAAAATATATCTGAAATACACATGCGTGAATTTATATTTATTACACGCGCAATTGATATATTTCTGCTATAATCCGTGTATTTTTTAATTCACCACTACATAAGTATCGAAATACACGCGTTTATTGTTATAATGTGTACATACTTTATCTAGACGTTATTTGGATCTTTATCTGATTAAAACATTAAAGGTGAAACCTGAAGATTAATCTCATACCCCGAGAAAGATTTTATGGCAATACAAAAATTACTTCATACTCACTATGCTTTATACGTATACGTACAAATTTTCACCAAAATCAAAATTTTCTGATTTGATGAATTTTTTTTAGAATTTAATATAATGTGCCAATCCATTTTTTACTTTTTTTTTTAATCGATTTCGTGAACCCTGTATTAATGTACAACAAAATACCAGAATATTTATATACATATACAGCAATAATTTGCAAAGTAAACATGATTTTACAGATTGCAAATATTTAACACTAACGAACAACTTAATTTCGGTTAATGTTTATCTAAGCAACTGTTTGTTTTGATACAAGGAAACTAATGTATTAATATTTTGTAGTAGTAAACGCTATTTTTCCGTTGTAACAATATTTTTGAAACCTAAGAAATTTATTTATGTGAAAATAGACAATTACTCGATTAAACATCTTTGGTTCATATTATGTTGTTCGGTGTTATTATTTGCAATCTGGAAAATCTGTTGCAAGTAATACGTTAATATTTGTGTTGCAAATTACTTGCGACGAAGTATTTGAGTATTCAAGTACTTTGTTATACATAAATAATTAAATGAAATAAAATACGTATTTATTAATACATGCGAATCCATGTATTCTGATATACGTACATTCGTATATTAAAAATTACATTGATCAAAACACGTATATACATGTTTATATACATGTGTATTTTCAGAATTGTGGTAGACATCTCTGCTAGATAGCAGAAAATTATTTACGAGAGTTGTGGTTGCTGCAAATTGTATTTATACAAATTTTTTTCTATTTACGCTACTTAATTCTATTTATGCTAATTGCCATTTCTCAAAAAACCGTTTCATATGTGTAGCAAAACCTCGATTTTTACACGGAAAATAACATAAAATGCTTACGTGCAAATATCGAAGTTCATGCAACGATCGATAACTAATTTTACGGTCCATGATCATAATTTTGGCATTATTAATCATTATTTTTTTTCTCTAAAACAAGCGTGACCATCTTCATTACGCGTTTTCAAAGTAAAACGAACAAGGTTTTCATGGATTAATTGATCGAGTGGTTGATCGTTTACAGTGATCAGGAATCTACTGTAAACGGTAAATCACTAAACGATTATATTCACACAGAAAATTTATCTATATGAATATTTTCCAACGATATTAACTGATGCTAAAAAGTTTTTATTCGGTACTGGAATATGATAATATTTGCAATAGGCGCCATAGAATTTCTTATTTTTTAAACCATGGAATTTACTCATTGAAATTGTACTTTACATGTACATTGCACAGGAAACTTGCGAAGACGAGTTAACTCGTCGTATCCACAGAAAATATGGAATATCATAACTTGCACCTTACGCTGTTATTAAATAATAGAAAATTTAAAGGCAGATAATTTTAAATAAATAATTTAAGCAAAGACTAATTTTACCGATACCTACTGGTTAGAAGATATCGCCACATCGTGATGACGATAAAAAGATAGTTAACGTATCGAATTTAAATTCGTGTGCAGTTTTGATATTTCGCAAAAGCTAATTCGTTTTAATTTGCATTCGATAAGCATTTTTCAAGGACAAATTAGCTCGTTATCCCGGTCAAAGAGTTAAGTTAGCCTGCTCTATGACAACGATCAATTGGCAAGCATATAAAATCTGTGTTTTTAAATGAATTTTTTACTAGAAACAGGATAAAATTTTTACTACATAAAAAAGTATTTTTTTTTATAACTTTCATGATCACATCATTTAATTATAATATTTTGAAATTAATAATTATTTGAAACAGCTCGTTGACATCTATTGAATGGAAGATCTTGAACAATTCTTACTTGGAAAATTAATTTCAATCGATACAACTGTTTAAATCCTTTTATAAACAAATGACTAAAAAATGATATTCGTTACAAATTATAAAAGATTTGACAGCGTCATTTTTTAATTATTTTCTGAGTTCGATAACTCGAATTATCGGCCTCTATTATTTATGCAAATATAGTCTACATAGTTAATATTAATTCAACTGATACGATGAAAATAAATAGGTATATGTAATTAGATTTCCATTTTGATAAAAGCCAACACAAACCTTATCAAAAAACTATATCAAAAAGCTATACTCTGTCAATAACTCCCAAAAAAAAAAAAGTTATTTTCATTTGTCCGGTGTTAAATTTCAAATATAATATATCTTTTACGCGTTCTCGATCGTCGTAACTTTAATAAAATAAAACGAATGTAAAAGTTACCACAATTGAAATGAATTTTTCCGAATAAAAGTTTTTCAACGTATTTATACAATTTGAAAAGCAGAGCGTAAATAAACAGTTTTGCTACAGAATTTTCAGTACCAATGAAACCAAGATAATATATATTATATATTATAAGTAATTATATAGTATATATTATATTATATATCACATTTCGAGGCTGTACATTTTTCATTTTTTACATTTTTATGAACTGAAACGGTATTAGCAGGGAAAATCGATAACTGTTCTAGTATACATAAAGAACAGATTCTGATAATATAAGCAAAAAACATATTTACCAAAAAGAAAACAGTCTTAAACATATGAAAAACAACATGCAGACACACCGTGTGTTTATAATTCAGTTAAAGAACGAAATTTATTTACAAATAAAAGAGGACAAAAAATACATACAGTAACAATAGGACAATGTCTTTCTTTGGCACATGTTCTCTTTAGCGTTTGGATATTTTTTTTCTTTTTTGTTGTGATTCGACCCCTGATAATAAAGGGAAGAGTGAAAATAAAATAAATTTACTTAATTTTACAGTGGTAGTGTACGTCTTTATTTTACATAAAATCTGTGAATACGCGATATCGGATATTCAACGACGTATCGAACATGAGTTATGCTCTATTGTTCAACCTTGATTAGGAACTATTAATCGAAAGTATAAGAACGTAAAATATATTTGTTTATTTTTACATTTTCGTCGATAAATCTCGATGTCAAACCGGTCATCCTATTTGAAAAATGCATTATGACATTCTAATATAAGGGAAACAAAGCAATTGCGTTCCTTAACACACAAAGAACAGCATTGAAAAGATGAATTGGTGTACAAGTTAAAAAAAAGAGAAGAAAACGATACTGAGTTCTTTAAAGATTCCATTATATCTATTTCAACTGACGAGTAAAGATGATTTAACAAAAGATAATCATTTTTAACATTTTTTAAAGACGTAACAATTTAAAAATCGTATTAAAAACGTAATTTTTGAATTTTAAATTAATAAATAAATATGAACATAAAGGTTAATAAGAAACAGTTCTTAAATTTTCGTTTCTTCTCGATAAAAATAACAAGAAAAATTTATAATCGTTTGTTTTCTAGATAATACTGCATAAAATACATAAAATAAATATATTGAAAAGCGCGTGGATTAATATCATGAGCGAGTGTCGTATGCGTGCGTATCTGTATCGTGCACGCGTAAGCATATGCGGTACATATAAAGAGTGTATATGTATATTATAAAATATTTCTGGGTATAAAATAAGCGGTAATCCAATTGAAATTATATTTCCATGACGTTGCTAATGTATTTCCACTACATAAATAATTTTGTACAAATATCTTTATTATTCGTGTAATGTGAATATGTGCTTGTTTTCGACGTTACACCTATGCATCGATAAATGGACAGGTGCAATCGAATATTCAACTAATAAACATACATTACCGCGCATAAGTATCCGAACACTTAGTTGTTTAGTAACTCTGATGTTTAGTACACGAGTTTGACAAAAGTGTACAAATTAATGACAAATTAACGGTCAGAAATGGCACTTACTACCTTTTGAATTATTTGAATTATATATTAAAATGACTGAAAACTTACCAGTAGTACAATAGAATGAAATGAAATCGAAGAACCACTTGTTTTACCTGATTCACGATGTAGAATTTCAACGATCCGAGAATAAAGACCTCACAGTTCCACGACCTTTGGCATTTACGAACGCCACTTTTGGTATTTCATATTAGCTTCTAGAAAGCAGTTTTATCGTTATATCGCAATACATTGCTACGCATAGCTGTAACGATCGTAAAGAAGAAATTCATCACGGATCGTTTTCTCTGCAATTCTCTGTAATTAAATGTACATTAAAGTTTGATTAAAAATAAAGAAGCGTTCGGTTACTTTTGAGCGGTAGCGTAGAAACGACATCTGTAGGATCAACAGGAACATGTGAAAATCGAAGTTAAATCGAAATCAAAAGTAAATGGTAAATAGATGCGGGAAGATTCGCACGAATGTCTTTCGGATAACGCGCGATATATATATATATCTATACATATATGTATACTTTACGTGTGTGTGCGTGGGTGTTCGTGTACTTTCGGTGAAACAAATGAAAGCTCGGATAAAGCTTTCGTTATCATACTCCGGTTATAAATATCGAATCTCGTTGGAAATCGATTTACGCGAATCGACTTAAAAAGCAACGTGTTTCTCGGAGCGTTCGCGAATGGAAACCTTCTTGCTCACGGCCGATTGTTCCTGAAGATTTTCCGATTCGGCTATGTTCTCGTTGATCAATGCTCTCAGGGCAGCTGCTCTGCGCTCCCTCTTCGCTTGTCTCTCCGCGAGCTCTTCCATCTCGGACTCGAGATCGTTCAAACGAGCTTTAGTCTGCTTAGCCCTCGTGGCAGCGGCACTGGCCAACACCGAGTCCTCGTCGTCGTTGATCAGTTTCGACCATTTCGTGAGACTCGGTTTAGTCTCCTCCAGACGGTCGATCTCGTCGGAAAGCTTGGAACGTCTCTTGAACGTGCTCTCTGCCTCCTCGCTGATCGATTTAACGTTTTGCAAATTTCTTCTCACGCTCAGGTTACTCTCGAGCTGATCCTGTTCCTGGCGTAGACGCCGCGATTTGCCCAGCGCGGCTTCGACCTCGTCGTCCAAACCGATCGCGGCCAATTTCGCTTTCAGATGTTGCGTCGTTGCTACGACATCGTTGGCAAAATTTTCAGCGAATCGACGTCGACTGCGCTGTCCACGGCTGTCGTAGACGACATCCTCGTCTTCGGGGAATAAGTTGTCGGTGGCCAAGGAAGGTAACGGTAATGGTAACTGAGGGCCGCGAATGGAAGGATCTGATTCAAGGTCAAGGTCACGCCCAAGGGCAGTGTTGCGAGAACCGGAGAGGTCACGCGTGCCTGTAAAAACGGATATCTCAAGATATGTACACTGTTAGGGACACATACATATTATACCTATACATACATATTGTATTTGGTTAATTCAAATAAACTTCAACCGAAATCCCTGCTTTCAAAATGCCACGGTTTTAGTGCAATCGGACGACCGCTTTTAGACCGTCTCGTGTTCCTCGAGAATAGTCGGTAAGTATGCGGCAGCATTTCAAGCAGTACCATTTTAACGAAACAAATAATGCATAAATAAATGTTGACAGATAGTTTAACTACAGTCAGTGCCAATTACGCTATAGTATGTCGATCGTGTTCGTCGAAAATTTTCGTCCTTGCCTAAGAATCTAAGCTCTCAAGCTTGCAAGCTTAGCCGCAAGGCCTACGAGAAACGAGTAAATAAGCAGGTGGAACGACAAGGAAATATCGTTTCTTCGAACCCGAATCCAGTTCGTCTGTATTCTGTACACTGTATTCGCAAGTAAAGAAAGTTTGTTCGTCGTGTTCGATATTTGATACTCGTACATTTCACTTTGTTTCGTATTGTACGCCTGTGTTAAGCTTTTCGCGAGATACGTCGATTTTCGCCTATTACACGCATACCATTGACGATTGAAAGAATAGCAAAGTGGAAAAATTAAGTATATATGAATATTAATAAGAATTTCAATAGCACACGATATACAGGCTACATTCCAATCTGTAATTAATGCTATTAAGCGTTGTTTTTTCATTGTCGGTAATAATCTTTATATCATTTCCCTTGATTTCTCATTTTTCATTTATTAGTGGACTCGAGTATTCGTACATTAGATCGAAAGTGTGATCTCGATCTCGATATGTTCGTAACCGGTCACTTATACGTATAGCGTATGTTTATGTAACAGACACGTAAACGCACGTCTTGCGAATAATTTTACGTAGAGTTAAAATTTTACTAAATTTTTGTATTTAGCGTTATGACTCGCAAGATGAACCATGTCCGATTACTAATTTAACTCGACGTATTTTCCATAGAAAGAACGTATAAGCGAAAGGCGTATAAGCGATTTCAAATTTGGAGAAATAATTCGTGTGTAAATATGTATTTCATAGGTGGAATTTAAAATTCAGGTGGTACGGGGTGAAAATCCCTTTTTTTTTCATCGAAGATCATATTTCACTTTCTCACTTGTATACGAAAAGATAAAATTCGAATAGTAGAAGTTTCTACCGTTCGTGTCACAGGATATAATAAATCATTAGACGATGCAGATTTATCTCACGATTTTATTTTATTTTATTTTATTTTATCTTTTTTCCTTCTTGTTATTTCTTTTTTTCTTTTTTCTCTTTTACGACGATTTTTTACGGTGTCAAATTTTGTCGTGGCTGTAACAGTAGATAGATATAAAACAATACAATCGATTCGTTTGACATTGGGACTTGGATTGGACATGCCACTCATTAATAACCAATATGATGAAAAATAATTCAGCCCTTTTTTTACTGACAATGAAAAGAGTTACTGACTACTACTGGTTGTAATAGTTAAGGAGAAAGGGAGGAGGATATGTTCACCCCTTAAAACCATTTTGGAAAACGACTGAAGATGTTACCGATGTCGCTTCGTCGGGCTGCAATCTCATCGGCCAATGAGGTTCTTGGTTCAGAGAAAAGCGGTCGAGAGCTGTACTTTCGATCCAAATGATCGACCATTGGTTTATAATACGACTCTCCCTTGTCATAGTTGCATCCATACACGCGAGTACGCGGCCTGCTAAGAATTGGCCTTGACATCTTGATACAATTACTCCTTCGCTACCTGAAATTCCATCCATTTATTATAAATCACTGATAACTCACTTTTGCACATTTACATCGATAATAAGATACAAGCACGATACAATTCGTTTATTGCTATAGTAAATGCGCTGGTAACGGTGAAAATCAGTCAAATCGATTAGAAAAAATGATTTTATCGCTTATTTTGCATTACATTTATTCGCATTGCGATGAAATAGAATTATTCTTGGCAAAAGAGCGAAGAACGGAATTGCTGATTAAATTCGTACTTTCGCCATAATTAATCGTTTCAATTTACAACGAATAAAATTTATAATACTTGAAACGCGAAACTTTGAATACTTGACAGGTGACTTGGACCACTTTCATAATCACCGGCATAAATCATTGCACAGGTAACCCTCGTATAACGCGATATTCGAATCATTTGCCAAATTGACTAATTCCATGAAATGAAAAGTAAACTTTTATTTTGGATACAGAAACATGAGCCTCTCGCGTTTTAATACCAAAATTTTTAAAATTTCGAAAGGAGTTATCATTTTTATCTATGAACGATCCATTTATAAAACGCGGTTTTCATATAAGACGATTCACAAATGGTACTCGAGGAGATATAAATTGTCGTTCTTTTTACAATTCTTAATTTCATTAATTTTTTAATTTGTAGTACACATCTTGTTGCATGCAGGTAGCTGGAATAAGTAAATATATATTTTTGCTCGAACAAATGGACAAACTACTTTCTGTTCAAAAATCATTTATATGAATAAATATAATATAAACCTACTTTTTGCTTTTGTACGTAATTTAAACTTCATATGTATAATGCGACATTTTCCTCAAACCTAACATCCGTGTTATACGAGAGTCACTTGTATTTAGTATGACACTGTTTTATCATTTCTGTCGTTCATTTCTTCCGCCGTTTCTTTTTTCGTTGGCCATGATTTGGTAACGAATACGAACATCGATAAAATTAGTATAATAATATGCCGTCGTTGTAACAAGGGTATCTTTCCAAGTTAATTTATAATTGGTTTGAGAGATATTGCGTGGTCGTAAATTATAACATCTAGTGTAATTATAATATAATATCAAAATAACGTCGATATCGTCAATATTAGCTATAGGTATTTCATATCAAGCAGTATGTAGTATGTAAAACTGTTGAGTATGAAACTTTCAGTTTCAACTCAGTTCCCTAACTACCACTGCATTAATTTAATATTTCGAATATTTGAGAGAATTTTAATTTTTCGTAAACCATTGTCAACAAAATCCAGCAATGGTATGACATTGATTGACGTTTATGTTCTTTATCTTTTTGGAATATTTTGAGTTACGCTTTCAGAAGTCAAACAAACATTCGTACTCTCTTTTTCGATTGATTTTAAGACCTCGTTAAATCGTTCAAACTATATATACATTCGACGACATTATGCAACGTGTAATCTGTTAATTACGTATGATATAAAACAAGTGTCGATTATAAAATACGTATAATATACTGCTTGTCTATTTAATGATAAATTGTTTAGATTTCTTAACATTTGCAAATTAATTTGCATAAAATAATATGAAATATAAAAAACACTTATTGTAAATATAAATCTAGATAAATGTATTCAGCGTTTGTAATAAATAGTTTACAAACAATTACAAATATCATAAATACGTGTTACACTGTGAAATAACTTGTTTCTGTAATTAATCGCCGTTTCTTACGAAACTACGATCTAATTTAATTCGGGTGCAGAAATAATCGAACTAAAAATCGTTTAAAAATTCAAAGTAAGAAAGATATTTACAAGATATGTACATCTATGTATATTTGAATATAAATAAAAATATATACGTAATTACATGTATAAAATATATTTGATTTTGAGAAAAATATATATTGGAAAAATATTTACCTCGCGAGTAAAATGGTAATTTCGATATACTTTAATTTTCGTCAATAATTGCAAAACTAGGAAAAAAGAAATAAATATCTTATCTAAGTAAGCAAAATATAATCTACTCTATGAAGGCTATAATAGAACTGTATATATCTATAAATTTGTAAGAAATGAAAGAAATATCTTTTTGTATCTATGTAATAATAATAAAATGTAATAACAATAGATAATATTAGGTATGTAGTGATAGCCGTTATTTGAAATAAAAACAATTTTTTCATACACATTTTATAAAGTTAATACGAAAAAATAAAGTATAGGTTTAAGAATGAATGGTGATAATATAATTAATTATAATTCTTTTTATAAAAATTCATATCAAGAATTAAATAATTAAAGTGTTGTATCTAATTTTTCATCTTTTACATTTCATAATTATTAACTAAAGCATTACTCTAATTATTTCATCAAATTTCTTTAATTAATTTATATTTTAAAATAATTTTTAAATTGAGATCGTTAAAATTGAAATGCTATAACATTTGTTTATGGAAAATAAATATACATCGATCGAATTACTCATAAGTTAAATATACTTATACTGTTAAATATATACTGTTAAATATACTTATAATTTACCGCTATTAAATTCATCTAATATAATATTTTTCTACTTTCAACCATTTTAAAGATACAGCTTGTTCTGATTACATGTATGAGACATTTATATTCCACTGCATACTATTTTATTAGTTATTTATTACTAATTATTATTGTTATTATTATTATCATTACTTACGTCGATTGTCAGAGAAACGAAAAACTGAAGAACAATTTTTACTCGTAAAAAATTCCAATATGTTTTATTTGTGTGTACAAAAAGCTTTATGATACGGTTATGACGGGAATTGATGAAAAAATGTTTCAAACAAGTATTTATTGGTTTCAAGTCAAAGAAATCTTGTGATGGGAAAATACTTTCATACAAGAAATTCTAATTTCTATCAGAAAAATTAAAATTTGGATAAAATTGGATTAGTAAATCATTTTGCATGTAAAAATATCAATGGAGTTTTTAATATGATGTAATATACAAAGTATCTAACATACAAAATGTTTCATCACAGCTGAAGAAAAACTTTTTGATCGATTCGATTACAAAAATATCATCTCGAAACATGATAGTTAAAAAAATGTTATTAATATATGATGTTAATACATGTGTCTTGTTCATCGAAATGATCTTTTATTGGTACGAATCTGATTCTTTTTCGATCAAAATGGAGGAATTTAAACCTTGTAGATAATTTCTCTTATACACAGAAAATGATCTATATGTTTCATGTAAAAATAAAATTTTATTTATAAAATATTGTAAAAAATATTGTTTTAATCTAATACTAAATTAAATATCCTCTTGCTAATCGATTATACTTTTTCACTTGCTAATTTACTATCGAAAATTCACAATAATTCAAATTTTTTTATAAAGACATGTTTAGACACAAAATATACAATTGCGTAAGGAAAGAAAAGTTTGAACAAATTTGTAGATAATTTACATTGCATCATAAGTAATATCCGTACATGAAAGTAACGAATTGTCATGATTTTCGTAACCTCGGTTCAACAATAGCAGTTGCACTTTTTAAATAGTGAATAATAATATGATAATGTTTAGAAACTTTATCATACTGCAGCAACAAATTCTTGTTGATCAAAAGAGGAAATTAATGTTTAAAATTTATCGAATTTAGTTATACATTTCAATAAGATTGGTTAACTAGTTTTTACAACATAATTCAAACATCCTTTACGACGTGATTTTCAAATCAATCATTTTCAATCATTTTCAAATAAAAAGGATTATTTTTTCAAATTTAAATGATACTTTAATAATTTAATATTTTAATAATTTAATCTGTGATGTAGCCATGTCTAAGTATAGTACATGCAAATAGTAATAATTAAAGTGGTATGATAACAACAAATGCGTTTCTGTCTGATTAAAAGTCAACGCCTTCTTTACCAAAATCAGCTGCAAATATTTAAAAATAACTTCAAATATAAAAAGTCAAAAACTATTTCTTTTGACTGTTTTATCAGTTGTAGTGTTAAAAATGACAATTTTGCACCCATCTTATGTTTACCTCAAATCGTAACGTTTTATAGCCTAATTTTGGTATCTTAAAGTTGTCTAGTATAGAAAACTCAGACAACGTTATAAGTTACATCTTTAAAAAATTTGAAAGATTATTTAAATGACCTTGTGAACCTTGAAGGTGCCTTATATTTATTAGTCATTATTTTTTTAAATATAGATACAAACAAATCTATTATTAGCTATATTACTCTACTACAATTATTTTGTCGAGTATTATAAAATAATTAAACATTTGTCCAATAGTATACTTCGTTTAGCACTACAATCCTTATTTCAGTAGATTAAAAAATGTTATATCGTCAGTGTACTGTTCAAAAAGACAATTTTCATCGAGTCGATACAATTGTTTCAATTGCGAGATAATTGGGACATTCATCGAAAAATAATAATTCTCTGGGGGGATGTAGCTTTATATTGGGTTGGTGTTATTGAAATGGAACGAGTGGAGAATGAATAGATAAAGGATTGATAAAACTGTGGAAAGAAGTGGTGGTAAAGGAAAAGTGAGTATCTAAGAGGGAAAGCGTATGTGAGCTGTGACAGAGATTGTTAAAACCTTATATTCTAAATATATTTATACAAATAGGAAGAAAAGTGTTATCATTTCATCCCACAAATGTCCTTTTAAAAATCACGTAATTGCAATAGTTGTAACAGTAAATATTTTGCTATAATGACGAAATCTTTTTAAAATATTTTAGGTACGATAAAATAAAATATAATACAACTGAATTCAACACAGCTTCTTATAGGAAATAATATTAAAAAAACAATACGTGCTATACAAAAGTACAATTTGTTAAATATTATTGTATTTTGTAAACAGCTACCAATTCAGAATTACAAAGGAAATTCGATACTTTGAGACCTCGTCAGCTTTTATGTTTTACAATTTACTATTTTTGAGTTTGACCAATTAACCACTAATTACCGTCGTCATTTTTACTGAGT